ATTCCCCAGCCAGCAAAGCTGGCTGGGGAATTCTGGGAGTTGAAGTCCTCCAGGCTTAAAGTGGCCAAGGTTGGAGACCCCTGCCCTAGCCATCACCTCTTTTCTGGGAAGCTCACGGGAGCCGTGATTCCAGGGGAGAAAAATGCTCCGTGGTCTCAGGGCAAGTATAATAATTCTCATTAACCTCTCGAGAAGTTTGGCCACATTGAAAATTGGCGACCTCTTGCATTGTGTGGAGATGTTTTCATCGTTACTTCTCCTCCCGATTCTGTTTCCTCTAGGATATCCAGCAGCTGCTGCAGCTCCAGCAGTTAGTCCTCGTCCCAGGGCACCCTCTCCAGCCACCTGCACAGTTCCTGCTGCCACAGGCCCAGCAGGGACAGCAAGGTGAGAAGAAGAAGGAGAAGAAGAAGAAGAAGGAAGAAAAAAAAAATCATCCCTTCTTTCTTATTTTAGTAAACAACTCGAGATGGCAGACGTACCTTTAATACTTCTTCCTATTTCCCACACCATAACGTAATGGGAGGTGGGTTGGATTGAGACGGAAAGATTAACCCAAAGCCACCCAGCCAACTTTCACGTCTAAGGACCGGAGCTCGCAGTCTCCTAGTGATTGGCCCAAACTCACTGTGATGACCCAAAGGGACGTGGCACAAAGGCAATACAGTCAATTAAGCAAGAAGTGTCCCTTGAACACCTCCAACTTTGCTCCAATGTCCAGGTTACCTTTGGCTGGAGAAAAAAACTCCCACAAGGACAAGTGGAGGAAATTCAGTCCAAAAACAAAGTACATACAAACTGTAAATAAAAATCCACACAAACCACGCTGCAGAAATTAACTTGACAGGGCAAGAGAAGGAATTGCAGAGCAAAACACACACAGTTGGGAAGACGCCAGGAACCCAGATAAGCCTCGAAGATACCAAATAATTCACAATTTGCTCCCAACAATTTTGCTGTGCGCAGCTTCCCTTTTTAAACACTGTGTTCCCAGCTGCAGCTAATGAAGGGAATCAGGGCCCTTTCCTCCCCTGTAAGCCACGCAACTCACATTGCTCCCTTCTCCGTTCCTCCCTGCGTGCCCTAGGGTGAAGAGGTGGTGGGCCTGGGTCTTCCTCTGAACTCCCTCTCGCTTGCTCTACCTCTCCCCTGCTCTGCCCAGTCGGCCTTTGCCCTTCCCCAGTTTCTTCCACAGCCAACGGAGCCACACTCCCACTCCTTGTCAGCTGCTGGGCCTCCCCCTCCGAATCAGATTCCAACAGGGGCATGACACTTACCCAGCCAACTTTCATGCCTAAAGCAGGACTAGAATTCACTATCTCCTGGCGATTGGCCCCAAAGTCACCCAACTGGCTTTCACGCCTAAGGCGGCACTAAACTTTTAAGCTGTTGCTGCTTATGGCTTAACTGGGATGTAATTTGGCACACAAAGGACAAAAATACACGAGAGTCTCTTCAGAGATAAACTGAGTCTTTTTCTCCCTCGCTTCCCCACAGGGCTGCTTCCGACACCAAATTTATTTCAGCTACCTCAGCAAAATCCAGGGAGCCTCCTGCCGAACCAGCCTCGCGCAGGGCTCCCAGCACAGGTGAGCAAAGAAGGAAGGAAAGAAGGGTCGTGTAAAAAAACCCGAAAGAACGTGTAAAATGTTCATTGAGGTGAAAGAAGGAAATAAATGCCATGCAAATATTTTGGTTTTACCCCCATTTTTCTTTTTAGAGGATTATACCGGTTCCTTTTCTCCAGTATGAAATTAATTGCAAGCATTTAAGCCCTAAAATTCAGTAAGCAAATACATCCGTTTCTAACCCGCCAAACACTGCAAGAAGTCAATGGCTTTTATAACTCACGGAGGGAGGGAAGTACCTACCATGTTGGCCCAGGCATAGCATTGGCTATTAAACAAATTAATACATTAGTGAGATTATTTCTCCTGTTGAGTTTGGTAATGCAGTCTGCCTGGACTTGTGTGTGGTCCTTGGATTGCCCATTTCTTTGATTTCTTCCTCTTCCCCAGCAAGTGACTCGGCCTGGCCTCCCCGAGTCCCACCTCACTCACTCACAGCCGCCCAAATGCCTGGAGACCCCTTCGCACCCCGAGGAGCCCAGCGACCTGGAGGAACTGGAACAGTTCGCCCGCACCTTCAAACAACGGCGCATCAAACTGGGCTTCACACAGGTACACCTCAGAATGCTTGGGGCTCAGATGAGGAAGAATAAGACGTAGAAGAGTTGCGTGCAGGGAATTGTGAAATACACGCAGCCTTGGCGTTCTCTCAGTAATTGCTCCCCTCCCCTTCTCTTCCCTCCATCCTTCACAGGGTGATGTGGGGTTGGCTATGGGGAAGCTTTATGGGAATGACTTCAGCCAAACAACCATCTCGCGCTTTGAGGCACTGAACCTCAGCTTCAAGAACATGTGCAAACTCAAACCTCTTCTGGAGAAATGGCTGAATGACGCTGGTAAGGAAAAACAGTGGGATGTGATTAAAGCGGAGTCCTCCTCAGGATGACCCACCCGGGAGTGGGATAATGTTAAGAATGTCAGAGAAGAAAAGAGAACTTGGTCCAGAAGGTTATTGTGAAAGTTGCAGTGAAGGTAACAGGAAAGAGCCAGCTGCATTCACACATAAGCTATTGCTCCAGTTTTGGTCACCACAATGTAAAAAAAGATGTTGGAAAGAGTGCAGAGAAGAACAAGAAAGATGATTAGAGGACTGGAGGCTAAGACATACAATGAACAGTTGCAGGAATCGGATATGAATAGAATAGAATAGAATAGAATAGAATAGAATAGAATAGAATAGAATAGTAGAGTAGAGTAGAGTAGAGTAGAGTAGAGTAGAGTAGAGTAGAGTGGGATGGGATAGGGTGGAATGGAGTAGAGTATAATAGGGTGGGGTGGAGTGGAGTGGAGTAGAGTAGAGTAGAGTAGAGTAGGATGGGATGGAGTGGAATAGAGTAGAGTAGAGTGGGATGGGATGGGATGGGATGGAATGGAATAGGAATTAATAGAATAGAATAGAATAGAATAGAATAGAATAGAATAGAATAGAATAGAATAGAATAGAATAGAATAGAATAGAATATTCTTTATTGGCCAATTGTGATTGGACACACAAGGAATTTGTCTTGGTGCAAATGCTCTCAGTGTACATAAAATGTCTAATCTATTGAAAAGAAGGACTAGGGGAGACAGGATAGCATTGCTCCTATATCTAAGGGGCTTCCACAAAGAAGAGGGGGGTCGGCCTGTTTTCTAAAGCACCCGAAGGCAATACAAGAAGCAATGGGTGGAAACTAACTAAGGAAAGAAGCAAATTAGAAATTACCTGGTGGTGAGAACAATAAACCAGTGGAACAGCTTGCCTGTAGAAGTTGTGGGTGCTCCATCTCTGAAGGATTTTAAAAAGGGATTGGATTTGTCAGAAATGGTATCGGGTCTCCTGCTTGAGCAGAGGGTTGGACTAGAAGACCTCCAAGGTCCCTTCCAACTCTGTTATTCCGTTATTCCATATTTTTTTTAAAAAAATTGAGCTTTCCTGCTGTTGGTAGTCCAGGTAAGCAAGCTTAGTATGCCGTGCGGAGCCAGCAAATGGTAGCTCACCCAGAAACCATAATTTAGCATGATGTAGTGGCCTTCGTGGTCTGAGCCTGACAGAAGGAAGATGCGGGTAGCACAATACAAGCAGGACTGAGTGGTGGGATTTACGGCACCATAAAGAGCATTATTACCTTCCAGTGAGAAACTTAGTTCTTGTCCGCTCCATCAACATAGGATATATTCATACATAGTTATGATTAACTGGGAGAGAAGAGAGATGCCATTTCTGGAGAGGATGAATGCTGAGGAAAGTAGGCATTTGAAAAAAGATAGATGGAGCTATAAATTAACCAGATCTGCGGTCTACGAAGAAAATATATACAAAATGTTTTACCGATGGCACCTAGCCCCAAACAGATTAGCAAAAATGTATCCCAACAGGAATCTGGCATGTTGGAAGTGTAAAAAGAGACAAGGTACTTTCTATCATATGTGGTGGTGCTGCCCAGAACCGCAAAGATATTGGACCAAAATGAGGCGATGGATACAAGAAATTGTCAAAGAACAAATAGAATTTGAGCTGGAATTATTTATGCTAGGGATATTTAAAAAGAAACATGATAAAAAGATTAAGTACATTGTATTACACATACTAACAGCAGCTAGATTATCTTACGCACAATGTTGGAAATGTAAGAATACCCCCCCTGATGAATCAATAATTTAAAAAATCTTGGAATGTGCCAAAATGGACAAATTGACCCTAGAACTAAAAGACAAAGAAGCATCGGAATATTATAAAATTTGAGGTATGTGCTATGATTGGCTGGAAATTAGGCAAATAGAAAATAATGAAAGTTAAAATAAGTAAATGACAGATAAATGTATATATTCCCATAACAATATATATAAATATATAACACACAAGAGATAGAGATGTATAATATGAATGTTACAGTACTATTAATGTTATGGTTATTTTTTTCTTTTAAAAACATAAAAGAATTAATAAAGTTTAATTAAAAAAAAGAAAAGAAAAGAGGTAGATGGAAAAGTGATAGAAGGTGTTGAGTCATATAGGGCAGAGGTCTCCAACCTGGGCAACTTTAAGACGTGTGGACTTCAACGTGTGGAGTTGAAGTCCACATGTCTTAACGTTGCCCAGGTTGGAGACCCCTGGTATAGGGGATGTGCCTTATGAATGTTACTCAAAAGGCGAATAAAATGTTCCTCTTCAACATGTTACAGAGACAATGTCCGTGGACTCCACGCTTCCCAGCCCCAACCAGCTGAGCAGCCCCAACCTTGGTTTTGATGGGCTGCCGGGCCGACGTCGCAAGAAACGGACCAGCATTGAGACTAATGTCCGCTTTGCATTGGAAAAAAGCTTTCTAGCGGTAAAACGTTCCCTACCAAGCAACCCTCCCTCCCTCGTCCCTTCCCTCCCCAAATCAATATAAGTTATGCCGTGCAGTGGAGAAGAGACTTAGGAAAAGTTTTTGCCTGTGCTGCTTTCTTTAATAGCAATAGCACTTACATGCTGCTTCACAGTGCTTTTACAGCCCTCTCGGAGTGGTTTACAGAGTCAGCCTCTTGCCCCCAACAATCTGGGTCCTCCTTTGACCCACCTCAGAAGGACGGAAGGCTGAGTCAACCTGGAGCCTGGTGAGATTCGAACTGCCTAAATTGCAGGCAACCGGCAGTCAGCAGAAGTTGCCTGCAGTACTGCACTCTCACCACTACGCCACTGAAGCTTAATGCTTCCACTTGAAGTGGGTCATTTAAAACGGATTTCGTATCCTTATTTAAAACATTGATATACTTGCTTACGTTTTATAATCCTTGATTTACGACCATTTGTCCAGTGGCTGTTCGAAGTTACAACAGTAATGGAGAAAGTGACTTATGACCGTTTTCCACATTTACAACCGTTGCAAGCATCCCCATGGCCACGTGATCAAAATCCAGATGTTTGGCAACTGGCTCATATTTATGGCCGTTCTGTCTCCCAGGTCATGGGATCCTTTTTTGGTGACTTCCTGACAAACAAAGTCAGTGGGGAAGCTGGATTCGCTTAACAATTGGGTTACTAACTGAACAGCTGCAGTGATTCACTTAACAACTCTAGCAGGAAGAGCTCACAAAATGGCCCCAAACTTCTTGCTTAACAACTGTCTTGCTTAGCAACAGACATTTGGGCCTCAATTGTGGTTGTAAGCCGAGGACTACCTGTAACCAACTACAGGCGGCTGTATAATCAGTGTTATCCATTTTGTGGATATTTCCCTGTCCTGCTGCTTGCTATTCACTTCTCGCTAGTTCCGGATGTTGTTCTTACACTTCTATCTCCCCCAACAGAACCAGAAGCCTACCTCAGAGGAGATCCTACTTATTGCTGAACAGTTGAACATGGAGAAGGAGGTGATTCGTGTCTGGTTCTGCAACCGCCGCCAGAAGGAGAAACGGATCAACCCTTGCAGCTCTGCTCCCATTTTGCCTGCCCAGAGCAAGCCTGCTGGCTACAGCCCTCACATGGTAAACTCCCACTTTTCCCTCTGTCTCAGTTGACCTCCCTGGTGGCTTTCCCGTGGGATGCTGACATTTGCAAAAGTCTCTTGAAGGACACGTCTTACCTTATTTTTGCCCACTTGGAAGGCTGAGAGTTCAACCCTAATTTCTCCCCTAAGGTGCAAAGGAAAAATATCTGCTGTGAACTCTGTGTAGGTGTCAGGAAGGGCCTCCGGCCAGTAAATGCACAACTCCATTCAGTCGTGCCAATTCTACTCTGATTAGGGACTACAGGGTCGTAAAGCAGGACCTATCAGTGCAGGTTCTCTATTCATGTCAGAAGCACCTTCGAATTAGGGACATACAACGTTCAACACTGAGCAAGTGAACCCCTCCACCACCACCACCAAAACTGCATGCCAGTTCCATCTGAGGAAATGCAACCCTATGGAGAACTAAGCTTGGGAAATGCTCAGCATTAACTGGTCCATGAACCTACAGCCACTTGGTCATGCTGAAATAGTGGTTAATCCCATCCAGAGTCCAACAGCCTCCAGGCCCTGGGACAAGGCTTGGCAGCATCTCTTGATGAGCCGGGATTTCAGAGATGCAGTTGGTTGTCCTCAACGTGCTGTCCACTAGGGCCGATGCCATCATCTTCTCCATTCAACAAGTCCCTAAATAGCACTTTTGGGAAAAAACCTTTCCTGCCCTCTGGTGGTGCAAGAGAGAAAACTTGCTTCCTGGGTTTTACATCTGTTATGTCGGTGACAGGCTCTCATCTCTATCTTTTTGTTCCTCAGGTGACCAGCCCAGGCACTGGCACAAGTTTGCCCCTCTCCCAGGCTTCCAGTAGTCTGAGCACAACAGGTACAACGGTCCCCTTTTATTTTCCTTTTCCTTTATTTCCCCTTGGAATAGTTTACTGGGGTGGAGTGACGAGAGCGTGTTGGGACTGTGCGAAATGGACGTCACTGAGGAATATAAGAGCGTCCTGATCGTTGAGCCACCAAGTTGGTTAAGGGATTGTTGAGATTGTTGAGGGTCTGGACTACAAGAGGGCAAAATTAGGGATTGATCCTATTGAATGCCTGAAACCTGGGGAGGGAGGGAGGGAGGGAGGGAGGGAGGGGGCACTTGGTTTCAGACTTTGGGGGTCATGGGATAACCTTTTACAGCCTTCTCACAAAGCCAGTGCGGAAGCCAGGTTCCCTTAACAACAAGGGCCGTTATTAGCAGCAACTTGCAGGGACCCCCGTTACATCCATAGCAAGAAAGGTTGGAAAAGGGGCATGACACACTTAACTGTCTTGCTTAGCAACAGAAATGTTGGGCTTCATTGTGGCCATAAGTGGAAGACTACCTGTGAAGACCAGATACCTAGCTTGGCATTGTTTACGCCAGGGGTCTCCAACCTTGGCAACTTTAAGACCTATGGACTTCAACTCCCAGAATTCCTCAGCCAGCTTTGCTGGCTGAGGA